AATGTATTTAACTTTTGATCTGCCGATGGCCTATGGATAGTGTTGCCCAAAAGCGAGACCGAGACTAGTCTTGGCCTTGCAAACTCAGTCTTGGTCATAATTGGTAAATGGTTGACTGTCGTGGATAATGAAGAGAAGAATAGTTGGGGTGGTCAGTCAAAAAAGAAGGCAAAAATAAATGATAATATTTATTTTTACATATGCCGACGTTTCGACCTGAAGTTCAGGGCTAAGAAAAGAACCAGATAACAAGGTATGAGAAATATAAAAATTACAGTAAAATGAAGTTGTTAGAATAAGGACAATAGTAAGAACAAGAGACAAATAACAATAACAGGTGCAAATTGTAGAATGATGAAGTAAACATAGTCAAAAAAGGTGACATAAGTATTGTAAAGGGAATCTTAGAATAAAATGTAAAACAGAAAAATATGAAGTTATATAAGAAATGGCAATGAATAGTAAAATTAAGATATAGTGAATAGAATATTTAGATAGAAAATAGAATATTTAGATATATCTTAATTTTACTATTTATTTCCATTTCTTATATAACTTCATATTTTTCTGTTTTACATTTTATTCTAAGATTCCCTTTACATTACTTATGTCACCTTTTTTGACTATGTTTACTTCATCATTCCACACTTTGTACCTGTTATTATTATTTGTCTCTTGTTCTTACTATTGTCATTGTCATGACTGACCACCCCAACTATTCTTCTCTTCAGTCTTGGTCATGCGCAAGAGTCTCGCAACAGTCTTGCAATTACTTATTAGCTTATTACTGTTGAGATATGACTGTAATTTTTTAGATAGGAAAACCTAACTAAGCCCGAATGAAAAATTATAAGATTTAAATGCAAATGTATATTGGTTATACTAATTATTTTCATATAGTAACTAAGATTGTCAAGTATTAGTAACTATTATGCCTTAAATTTTATTCAAATGGATTTTTTTTTAGCAGTCCTTGTATTGGTCTTGCTACAGTTAGGCGGCCTTGGTATTGGTCTTGCAAAGACCAAGAGCGATTTTAGGCAACACTACCTATGTATGATAAAAATGTATAGTGACCAATAAAATATTGTTGTCACCCATCTTTTCATCACGCACTTATTTAAAACACGAAGAATAGTCTCATAACTGAAATATTAAAATAATTCCCAACATATTTCATCTATTTACCTTCTCGGGATTTCATCAGAAAGAAAAGAATTAGTCTCATACAAGACTGTGACAAGAAACTACACTCGGAACTACCTGAACTTTTACTGGTCAATATATTACAAACGTCATTCAGGTGACTATAATGAGGCCTAGGTGAACATTACTGAACGGACTGGAGGCAGAGATGGGCAAATGCTGCTCTGAATATTGAGTACCAAGTATTTTACTTAGGTACTGACCTTTTTTGAGTATCAAATAATTTAATTACTGCTTCAGTTGATACACTACTGAAGTAGTGATTGAATTTCCGATAGTTAATCAATTTGAGTAAAATACTTCTTACTCGGTACTCTGAATAGTATTTACTCATCTCTGACTGGAGGGCTCAACCTAAACACCAATTTCCTATCTGTAACAATCATACAAACATTTTAATTGATTCCTAATAAAATTATCCACAAGACTCAAATCTTTATTGAAAGAATGTAAATTTGAATTCTGGAACATTTCGTCTCCTCAGAATAACTATAATGAACAACTAAATGACAATTTTCTGGCAATTATGGATAATTAAATGACAATTTAAGATAAATTAATGTACAAAGTTGTCAAACCTTAAAATTAAAATAAAGAAAAAGCACTGTAGTAAATATATGATCTTGAGGTAGACAACTAGCGGATCCAGGATTAAATTTTGTGGTGGGGGTTTCAGCCCGAAAGCTCCCCCCTCCATCATAGATCTGCCTGTGAAGTAGATATATGAATTTAAAGATAAATACATACGAGTGAGTTCACGTATTTGTACAAATAAGCAATATGCCATCTGCAAGATATCAGTAAAATTCTGCCATTGGTGTGTCGTTATGGCAACCAAGGAGAACAATATAAAATCAATTTCGTACTAAATATGAAATGTCTTTTTCTTTCAAATATATGATATAAGCCTTGGCTTTTTGTTCAGACGATCAATAACAGTATTAATGCATAATAACATTAATAATTTAAGCATCAAGCGTCCCAACGTACTGTTCTATCGATTCCAACAAAATATTAACAATCACCAAATAGTTTATTGAAATCCATCCTTTGTTATTTATTAGTGATTTTTACATTATTTCCTTTTCAAATGTTTCACAGGAGATTTTTAAATTTTTTTGGTGGGGGGTTTACAATTCTTAAACTTTCTACTGAAAATTATTAGTAGTGATTATGAAGGTAGGTTAAAACTCCTGTAGTCTTTTATTTTAACAAAACAAGCTAATATAATGTATTATTTTTAAGTCTATAGAATTTGTATGTATTTCTGAAAACCACAAGTTAATTTAGATTAAAAATAAAGACGGGTTTGCCTGCATTTTAGAGTCATAAGGTCGTATTTTTTGGAATTTTACCAATAATTACCTAACATTTATGTCCTGTCATAATATTTTGTTACTAATTAAGAGCAATTTAGATTAACCGTTTGACCACATATATAATATTAATTTTCTTAAAGCTTGAACTATCATCTGTATGTATAATGTAATCAAAAATATTTAAAAATCTTAAAAAAAAAATAATAATTTATTTTCCATAGATTAATATTTTTTTCTATGAGTGTTCTTAATTTATCCCAATATGCCTCTTTTTTTCTTTTCTTTTTTTATTATAACGCGTTACTAAATGTAATCACATATCAAGAGAAATATGTTTTAAAATATCGCTAAAAGCACTATCTTGTCCGTAACTATTTTCTTTTTGTTTTTAACAGACCTCCACGGATTTTTATGAACTATTAAGAATTAATCAATATACAAGGATTACATATTTACGATTTACAAAAAAAAAAAAAAGAATCAGATATAACGGACTAATGAATGACCCCTTTTTTTCTAATACTTTCATTCGACATCATTCTTCTTGTGACCTCAATTTTATATACATTTTTTTTTAGAAAACGAGACCTACTTTCTCCTCCTTAACCACATTATTTAACGTTATGGCCTTAAATATTACCGGGATGATTTACGGATGAGGAGAAAAAAAAAATGACCGGAAACTTTTAATGTTCTCTTTGGAAGAAGTGGATGGTAATAATTCATCAGTTTTTCCTGCAATGGATGTTTCAGAACGTTCTCGGGTAACAGTCAATATTTGAATGTGATGTAGTTTTCATCTTCTGTTCATTAGTATTGGTGTTGAGAAAATATCGAAATATATATATATATATATATATATATATATATATATATATATATATATATATATATATGTATATATTTCAAGAGGTAAGATATTTATATTAAAATTTGACCATCGAAACCTATATTTGTTACAAAAAAAAATTCCTACAACGGAACCCGATTTGATACAAACCTTCTAACATCAAAATTATGGTAATTTGAATACTAAACCTGAAAACTATCGGCTTAATTCGTTATATATTTTTATATCAATCAATTTATATATATATATATATATATATATATATATATATATATATATATATATAAATTGATTGATTGAGTATGCTGTGTATTTTAGCAACTCAATACAATTGAGCAGCCATGCAGTATTATTGGACTTCTCTAGTATTAAGTATTTTTTTCTTTTGTGTTTTAAATTTTAAAAATGTTAATAATATGACAGGATTCAGTCATTATTCAATATTGACGTTTTTATTTTATTATTTGTCCAGTTTCTAATAATTAATATATTTAAGGTAATTAATTTTAATTACATTAAACTTGTCAATTAATTGCAATTATTACAAATCTTAACCCTGTTCTTTACCTTCTTTCAAAGATGAAAAACATCAAAATTTAAATATTTTTTATTGATATCTCTTATGTATTTATAGTTCACCCTTGCTCTATTCAAAGATCACAAATATCCAGGACCGATATATCGACATATCGATATATTTTCAATTCATCAAATTGATAAATATTTATATTCCTAACTCGTAGTTCAATTTAATACGTGCACACATTATCATTATGCACACATTATATCATAATGTTTATCAATGCTTTGTAGATCATAATTTATAATCATTATTATAATTATGTCACGTCTTAGGATATTACTAATTAAAATGAATTATCTTTTTCATTATCAATTTTTTTTTCTTCTTCATTAAACTCCTAAATCTATATTGCATTTCTTTGTTATATATAAACTGATCAGAGATATAACCTGATTTTATCATCAAATATTATAATAAGTTTCAATAAATAATTAAGCAAAACATAGATAATTAGTTATAAAAAAAATTATAAAAACTTATGAGCAAATCACACTTGAGAAACTTCGGACCAAGCTCCCCTCGCTTGTGGATTCAAGAACAGGCTTGAAGAGACACAATTACTTCTCAACCTCATCACTGCCATTAAAATTAAATGGAGGCTGCGAAAGGGCCCTATACTCGTTAACTGTAAGTGATAATTACAATAATTGTTAAAAGGTAAATTTAGTCAACTCGAATGGGTCTCATAATGCAACTTATGAACACTCCTGCAGAGATCTTGAAATTGAAAGGATTTAGCATATACCTAAATATTTATAATGCATAATTATATAAATAAAAAATTGTATTCATTAATATTTCATATAATGTTATACGGCTTTATTCAACACGAGCTTTGAATATTATTAAACCGTAAGGCGCATACGCTGTGCGATTTTTCTGTCCTTGACGCATGCGTGATAAGACATGTTTTGGAACGGAAAAATTGCGCTGCGCATGGGACTTACAGTTTTCTGATTGGACTCGTCATGCAACTTATCTAATAATAATACATAATTTTAATTATCGTTTATTAATTGAATATAATTTATTGTGGTTACAGAGGAGTGAAAACATCGATGTGGCACTGTCAGTACCAAACCACGTACACAACGGCTACGGAATGAATGAACAGGTACGTTAACATATCCACAATATTGAGAATGAGAGTGTGTGCGTGTGTGCATGTTAATTACAACAATAAATAGTTCCAGATATCTATGTGTATGTAGTGAAAAATACTTCAATTATAATGTATTTTTATTAATAAAATTTCGGAGATCTTCTCCATCGTCGGGATTCCATTCTTGAATATATTTTTTTTTTTTCTTAGATCTAAAATTCCTATAAAATATCACTTTGGAATAAATTCTCATTTATACAGTACTATTTTTTGTAGTATAGTACGACTTACGGGATTGTAGAGGAACTCAAATCTCTGAAACGCCGTTTTGAGAATATTTTGTTAATAAAAAAACCTTATTATAGAACTTGAAACCTTATTATAGAAATATGATAATATTTAAATATACTTCCGTATAATTGAAAAATATATAATATTATTTTTTTTTTTGTTAATCCAATAAATTGGTTGTTTAGTCAATTCATTAATGCGCTGTCAACTCTCGATTTTTTTTTTTGGAGTTGAATAGTCCTAGGTTTGTCTACTTATGGTTTTAATTTCAACACAAATCTTACGTTTTATTTTTATATTTTGGAATAATGAATCTTTTCAAAAAACATTGAATACTTAAAACATCTACCATAGCTACAGACCTCTGTAAAAAGATATGTTTACGTCTTTCATACGAATCTCCACTAGCGGATCCAGGATTTAATTTTGGTGGAGGAGGGATCTTCAGCACGAAAGCTTTTTTTTATTTACATATATTATATAACGATAATTACTTGGGAAACAAAAAGAAAGTATCTAACTACCTACATAATGATATGATAACCTATATGATAAAATGGAACCTATTTTGTAGAAATATCACACAGACCTCGATAGAAGGAATTTTCCATTGTCTATGTGTTGTAACATTTATATGAATATTATATTTTGTTTCTATTTGCTTTATTATAATAAACACGCTTTCATTAAACTACCTATATGAATGGTGTTTCTTGAAGTCTATTAAGTGTAATTACACGAACAATAATATTTCAGAAATAATTTTTTTATATTTTTTTTCCATAAAACATGGTTGTATTTTACCATTTTAGGGGGGCTTTGGTCCGAAACCTCCCCTCCCGCCGTAGATCTCCCTGTGCCAATGTTAAATCATCTTCATTTTTTAGGATAAGTATCTGGAATATCCGAAGCGGCATCCATTACTGGTCAGATTATTTTTCATTTCAAGTACGTTATCGATAATTAGGCTTCATATAATAATATTTTCTGCTATAAGTGGAATTCACAAAAGAATTATCATTAATTATTCTAACAGTTAGTTAGGCTACTAACAGCGCTCCACGTTTTATATAATTCCGAAATTATTATATTCAGATAAAAAGGTGAGGCAGCTCGTTAATAAGCTCGCTAAATATCAAAGGAAGATTTTGAAGATTTTAATAAAAAGATGGGGGCACTACAAAATAAGAACATCGCTACAAGGAACCTTTTAAAAACACATTCACTACTCATTAATTTTTTTTTTTATTTATGCTCGAGGGTAATTTTTAAACATAAAGGAAAAACATCAAAAAATAATTTAATAAATAAAAAAAAGAACTAGAAATGAGAGAGGGAGCGACTATTAAAACATGTCTCATTTGATAAAAGGAATTTTTAATTGCTGCCGGTTCCACATTATAAATACAAATAAATTTCATTTAATAACCATAAAGTTGTTTGAAGGTTTTTAAAGTTTGTTTCTCTTGAAAGGGTGAGGAAAGGGGGGGGAGAGGGGAAGAGTTTGTTAATTTTTGTCAGTCGGTTTTAAAATGTAAATTGGCCGGGGAAAGGTTCACGGAACTCCTTTGTACAAACAAATTTTTAATTAAATCCAGTCCGATCTATTCTATAAAGGACTGGAACATTTAAATGTTTGCTGAGAGGAAAAAGGGAGATCCCGCCGAAGGTTTTCAACCCGATTGGAGTATTAAGTTTTTACTTTATTTCGGATTTGAACTCGATTTGATTTATGAAGCGGCCATTTTGGCCTTCTCATACATTCTAGAAAACAAATAGGAAACCTTTTCAAATGTTTAGGAGTCACTGCCATTTATATTTCACCTTTACCAATTCCCTTTTACTATTTTCAATCTTATCTTCCTGCTCTATTCTTTCCTTTGAGTAACTTTTTTTTTTTACTGCCTCTTCTTCTTGAATTTTTTATTAATCTTCTCTCCCTTCCTTCATCCCCTCTTGTAGCCCTCAGTCAATCTTCTCAGTTTATGTACGTATAACATTTAACTGAGGATACGAATTCTCCTCTTGTTGTTCTTTTTTTTTTTTTAACAATTTGAAAACAGAATACCTTCTTTTTACTATCGCAAAAAGAACTCTTAGATGGAAAATTAAATTAGAATACCGTATGAGGTTGGTAATGTACTTTAAAAAAAGCCATAAAGTGTGTTTATACGAATAAATCAACAAAGCAACACCAACCCACTTTAATATAACCAACCAAACTTGAAGATATTCGTAATTTTATTGAACTTGTTTTTCATGACGTAATCTGAAAAAACATGTATTAAACATACTACACTCAATCTATTCAAGTAGACTTGTGTCTAGCGGAAGTTGCTGAGCCACGGTTTTATTTATATTTATTTTATTTTATTATTTTATGTTATAATTTAAGGCAATCAGTTCAATTGTTTGAATAATAAACATTGTCTGTATATGTGCTTGTACTGTTGGTAAAATTTGCTTTCAATGTATTTATATTTTCTTTATTCATCCCATAACTGACATTTATGGGATAGACAATATAAATAGAAATAGAAATAATATAGGAATAAAAACTAAGAAATATAGTATCTCCTAAAAATATATTGAATAAATTAATACTTATTAATTAATTAATAAAAAAAGGCCTTCTGCTAATGATAATAAAAAAAAAAGAGGTTTCGTTACTAACTATTTCCTATTTTCATTATGGATTATGTCTAATCCGTTCATTTATGAACTTTTTTTATATACAGTTATAAATAGAATGTTTATTACTCGATAAGTTTTATTTTAAATAACAATCTTATTACATTATTATTATAAAAACAAAATAATTGTTAGTTTATTTTAGTTTTAATTTATTGGAAGCTTTTGTAACAGCTTTTTATTTTATGTTTTTAATACGCATGTATGTATTAGTGTGGAGGTATGTAGTAATGCTTTATATCTTAAATTAAAATAATAACAAGTTATAAAGAGGTTAAATTAATAAATATTTATCGCCAACTTCAAACTTTAGAAAGGTCATATTTTTTTCTTTACCCAGTTCTTTTTCTTTTCCTTGTTCCTGTTGTAAGACAACCCTCCATCCACTTGAATGGTCCTAAGAGACCATTGGAATCCCTTCTCCCCTTTTATCCCTGACCAAAAAGGTGGTTAAGAAAACTCGACTTGTCTAGGTCAGGAATCGCACCTCATCTTTTTCTCATCTGAATATTGCCTTAATTTGCCTGAAAATTAAAACATTTAATGTTCAATTGAAAACTTAATAGTTAACCGTTGTATTATTAAGGAAGGAGATGGTCCAGGGTATCGATCATAAATAGACTAAATAGTGGAAAACTATTTTATTAAAAGACAACGTTTCGACCCGACTTTGCAAGTCTTCTTCAGGGCTAGAGCGGATAAGATATAAAAAGATATAGAGAATTGTGAAAGTTACATAATATTTAGATAATGTACTCACTGTTAATAATTTTAATAAGTTTATTCATATTGTTTATAATTTTTTATCTAAATAATATGTAACTTCCACAATTCTCTATATCTTTTTGTATCTTGTCCGTTCTAGCCCTGAAGAAGACCTGCAAGGTCGAAACGTTGGCTTTTAATAAAGTAGTTTTGCCACTATTTAGTCTATTTATGATCGATATTCCGGACCATCTCCTTCCTTATTTAATGTTTTATTTCTTATCGGGTTGAATGGTTCGAGGAAAGTATAAATTCAAGGAAAAAACTTAACTCATTACATTTGAGAAAAGTTACTTATTTTTCATCTAAAATGGGACAGAACGGTAACCATTATGAAAGAATATTAGTTTCCCTAGAGGAAAATGTGAAAAGATTTCCTCCCCCTCCCTGTGAACCTGTTTTGCTGACTCCCATTGAGAGAGGTCATATATTAAGCCGACGTCATTGAAAAAAGCCGATACGAAAGATTAATGGAAGTTGGTATTCGGTGCCGAAAAGTAGTACTGCGCACGCGTCAATGTTGCCCGAATACAGCCGAGAATTACCGATTTTAGCCGGTGTTGTGAAATAAATTATAAAACTTGTATACCCTAGTGGGAATTATCATATTAACTATCCCTCTCTCTCTAATGCATTTTACATATAAGCGATGTCAACGAAACATGTTTATTTTTATATACAATATAATATCACCAGTGTAATCTACTCAATACAAAAAAATTAAATTAATAATTTACTTAAGAAGTGGTTACCTTGTGCCAAATGTTGAGAGATGCCTAAGAGTATATAGTGCGTAATAAAGGCATCTTTTTATCAAATTATTAACATCCACCTTAAACTTCGTGAATAGCTTTATCTCTTCATAACTTACAACACTATTTTATTTATAAAAAATCTCGAAATTAGAGCGTTTTCAATCTGTAGGTCGCAAACTTTGTCTATTTAATTAGATACTAAAATGTCGTAAATACCCATTTACTTTCCACTTGAATCGTAGGATAATTTGATCACAAAATCAAGAACAAAGGTTGCCTCCAAAAACATTGAGCCGTTTGGCATGACCTACAATCCCTAAATGTCGGAATAACGAGGTTATTTAGGCCAAACGGCCCAATATTTTCGTAGGTCGCCCTTTTCTCTCCTTTTTTTTATCAACTTAACTTACAATTCAAGTGGAAAGCAAATTTATGAGATTTTAGTACCTAATTAAATACACAAAGTTTGCCGAACTTCATATTGAAAACGTTTTAACTCAGAAAATTTTC